GGGGGGGGGGGGGGTGTTGAGGGATAAAGTGCTGCATCCAGGCTTCAGGGCTCAGTTTGTAATTAAAATCTTAGTAATTGGCCTGACCAGTGTTCTTAGGCCAAGGGGCTTGCTCCCCTCATGCAAGGAGGAGCTATATTTCTGCACACCATTGCTGCTGCCGCTATAAGCCCTTTTATAAGCATTTGATTTCAATTTGGGGATGCACTGGATATTACCTCCGAACCCCCACCTCAACCATTATTAATTATTTTTTCCCATCAGCAGTTGTTCAACACAATAAGCCTCAGAAAATAACCAATTTCAGCACCTACTCTTTTGTCATCATTCCTAACAGCTTGATCAAAAAAGTAATTTTAATTTAAACATACTGGAGTGAGCCAGCGTTAACTGTGCTTCCTAACACTTCCATTTCCATCCCCCTCTCTCTCTCGTGCACACGTCCACAGGAAAGACATACACCATGATCGGCAAAGACAGCTCCACTCAGAACCTCGGCATCGTGCCCTGTGCCATTTCCTGGCTCTTCAAGCTCATCAACGAGCGCAAGGAGAAGACGGGCACGCGCTTCTCCATCCGAGTGTCCGCTGTGGAAATCTTCGGGAAAGATGAGGAGCTGAAGGACCTGCTGTCAGAGGTGTCAAGCGGCAGCCTGCAGGAGGGCCAGTCCCTGGGTATCCACCTGAGAGAGGATCCCATCTGTGGCACTCAGGTTGGAAGCGTTCTTCCTCTCCTCTTTTTCCTTGTCTGCTTTCATTCTCCCTGCAGGTTATAAAGTATTAGCCCGTCTCGGTATTGATCTTTTTCTGTGTATGATCTACCTCTTCCTCTCTCAAAGATGTTTGACTTTATCCTGTGTGTGTGCATGTGTGTTTTTATCTCCCTGGACTCTCTCTCTATCCTACTTGCCTGTGAAATCCTTGCTTTATATTTCCACCAAACACATCTGTGGTATTGATGGCTTTTTCCTTACCTTTGTATTGACTCTACTGTCAGCATCCATCAACATCTATTACCTGTGTGTTAGCACGAGTCCTCTGCAGCACAATAGAAGTATTATTGGGGGATGGTGGCAGGCTGTAGGTTTGAAGGCACTCACAGGTGTTGCTGTCAGATGTTGTTTTTGGGGATCTATATGGACTCGTACTTCAAAGACGGTGCACTTCTGTGAGGCTCCTTCATGCTCTTCCTCTCAGCAGCCACGTGTCGGCTCCCTTCATGATGCCTCCCGCTGTCTCTCTCTCTCTTCTACCTCCCCCTTTCTCCTCCTCTCTTTCTGTATCTCCCCCACCACCATCATCACATCCATGGCAAGGGAAGTGCCCCTGCCTCCTGCTGTACCATTACCTCTCCTAATCCTCCTCCCTCCATGTGCATATCTGCTGTTTTAATTGCCCCCGAGACCCAATCTAATGGGCAAGAAATGTGTGTTGAGGTCCAATTAACGGGCTCCCCTCTCGTACTCCTTCCTCTCTACCCTTTTCACATCTCGCCGTTTTCTCAAGCCCCGTGTTGTCTCCTTTGCTCACCCTAACCCTGTTTTCTGTCTCTACCTTCCCCCCATCCAGCTCCAGAATCAGAGCGAGCTCCGCGCCCCAACAGCTGAGAAGGCCGCCTTCTACCTGGATGCAGCCATCGCCGCGCGCAGCACCAGTACACCAAGTGCAGATGAGGAGGACCGACGCAACTCTCACATGCTTTTCACTCTGCACATTTACCAGTACCGCATGGAGAAGAGCGGCAAGGGAGGAAGTTAGTGCTTGCATTATTACATCTACAACTGCATTACTATGAACGACCATGTTGCCATCACACATTCATAGTACAGAACTAGAAGGGCGCTCAGTAGAGTGAATACCAACAGGAGCTTTATGGAACAACATTTAAATTCACCAGAATTTTATTTGGATCTGCACCTAATTGTACTCATAAATGAGTCCCATAAACATATGATCCATAAATTATTCTCTGAAAATTCAAGGAAACTGTTGAAAAAGACAAATCTTCATAATGTGAAAGAAAGTAAAAAGAATCCCTGGATCCGCCCCACTGATCTGGATTCACCAAAATTTGATTGGTTCTTCACAGACCCATACCACACTCTTCCACCAAGTTCCTTGGTAATCTGTCCAGTAGTTTTTGCGTAATCGTTCTAACTAACTAACAAACAATGAGGCAGAGCTGAAAACATAATTATAGCATATGTGCAACCACATCAGTAATGATCAATATATTTCCTCTCTCCAAGTGACCTGCCGTTCACTCTGAATAATCACAAGATTGTTGTGCTGTGAACAAGAAGGCAAATGATTGCCCTTTAAGTATGAATGAAATGTCAGACACATCCATTACTTGCGATTTTTATAATATAAAGTTTTCTATTTTGGTCAGGATCAAATGAATATTTGAAATCTCACTGACAAGAGTTTAAACATTTTGCTGCTGCTGTAGAAATTACATCAGTCTCCCACATAACAATGTGTAACCCAGTGATTTTCAGTATGACAGCCAGTTCTCCCAAGATGCATTTTAATTCACAAGAAGGGAACCGCATATGTGTTTCTGATTATCATGTGGGTTCTTTCTTTTCTTATGTGTCTAACCAATGGAGCCTCCTTGTCACCACAATTTGGACATCTGGTGGGAGTTTACAAGTCTGGCTGCTATTTGAATGATTTCACAGTGGGAATCCTGTGCATCTACAAATCAGACAGCTCTGACAGGCACCAGTGCAGTGGCCACTCCTGTCATTGGCACAGTGTGTGAGGAGCTGAGTTGGGATGTGGGATAGTCTGCAATCTGCTCATCTGGTTCTTCTTCTCTTGTTGACTCAGTGTCGGGTGGACGGAGCAGGCTGCACCTCATCGACCTGGGAAGTTGTGAAAAGGTCCTGAGTAAGAGCAGAGAGGGAGGAGGAGGCCAGTGTCTCTCTCTAAACGCTCTGGGAAATGTCATCATGGCTTTAACAAATGGAGCAAAGCATGTCCCCTACAGGTAAGAAAACCAACATCAAACTTTAACTGGGTTTCAGCGTCTGTGAGCTGTAAGTAATTGTCGCTGGATGTGTCGTCAGTCTTGCAGGTTTGCTGTGTGACCACTTATTCCATTTGTTTAGCCTCATATTACAACTTTTACTGGTGTTGCACAAGCTTTTGTTGGAGTTCCTCAGGCATGAGAAGATTAATTACTCATTCATTTGGAAGTATTTTTCAGCTCAGATAATTCAAAATGGCTCCTTCTGGAATCATGACAACTACCTTTTATTGTGATCGTGGTGTTTGCTGATAACAATGTAAACGCTTTCCCCCCCAGGGACAGCAAACTGACAATGTTGTTAAGGGAGTCCCTTGGCAACATCAACTGCAGAACGACCATGATCGCCCACATCTCCGACTCCCCTGCCAACTACGCCGACTCACTCACCACCATCCAGCTGGCATCACGGATCCACCGCATGAGGAAGAAAAAATCCAAGGTACACTGATGATCCGCTTAGCACTGATAAATCTGGTTTAACATATGCAGTAATAAATATATATGATAATCAAGTCACAGCAAAATGGTACATTTGTTAAACAACAATCAGTTAGATGTTTGAATTCAAATAACTCTAAATAATGAATCCTGTAACAACTGTTCCCCATTTAATGTTATGCTAATGATGATATGCTAATGATAATGCACAGTAATTGATATTCAACATTATTTTAACTGTTGAAGTTATAGCAATTACATTCCTAATGTGCATGTGCAACTTTTATGAGATTGATCATATTTCATGCTGGGACTTAAGCCCTTAAATTTTTCTTGGTCATGTAATTTTGGAGCGATCAAGCAAATGAATGTGTGAATGCTTCTGCAAATGAAAGATTATTAGTGCAGTAACTCAGAGCTAGTTCATCTTGGCTCCTCAACACATTATCATGTAATCAATACTACCGCCTTAGGAAGTGTGTAATGCATTCCCTTGGATTAGGGAAATATATGCTGCAGATAATTAGGTGGAATGACAGCATGTATTTATTTGGTATTGGTCGCTGGCATGATTACAATGCAGTCCACATATAGCAGTTCATATCATTGACATTAATTTCTGTCTGACTATTGACGTGCACTTTTAACCTTAAGATAAATATCGACTGGTAATTTCATAGCCCTGCAATTTAGCTCACTATGAATTTGTTAAGTGAATTCAAGATAAATCACAAGGGTTAAAACTGGTTTGTAAAATGACAAGATTGTTACATTAACATTTTGAGAGGATAGAATTACATTACTGTCATCGGTTAATGAGATTGTGTTTAAATCCAAAGAGACTAATGTCTTCAACTCTGCTTTGCAGTATGCATCCAGTTCATCTGGAGGGGAGAGCTCTTGTGAGGAAGGGAGGATCCGCCGACCGCCTCACCTCAGGCCCTTCCACCCTCGGACAGTAGCCCTGGACCCAGAGCTGCCCTCTCTGCTGAGTGACCCGGACTACTCCTCCAGTAGTGAACAGTCCTGTGATACTGTCATTTACGTGGGGCCGGGGGGAACTGCAATCTCAGACCGAGAGCTCAGTGACAATGAAGGCCCCCCTGCCTTTGTTCCAATCATCCCCTCACTGAATAAGAGGAGGTCTGCAAAAGATGGCCCTCTGGACAGAGACCAGTTCTTCAAATGCAACACATTTGCTGAGCTGCAGGAGAGGCTAGAGTGTATAGACGGCAGTGAAGAACCCACTGCATTTGTTGGAGAGGGCAAGCGAAGCCAGCCCAGCCCCAAGACTGACAAATCTAAGGAGAGCCAAGGCGCTGTTTCACCAAAGACTGTAGCAAATATTTCTTACAACCCAGAGGACCTCTCACCCAAACAATCTCCTAAACATGTCGCCACACAACCATCCTGCAGTCCCACTAGTAAATCTAAACTTGAAACTATCAAGAGGCAATTCATACCTGCAGAAAGGGTAGTGCCAGAGAGTGTCCAAAATGTATGCAGGACCAGCGCTGATGGTGAGAAGGCCTTGGTTTCTGAAAGCCAGATCAGCACAAACAAACTATCAACGGCTGCAGAGCCAAACTCCGAGCCTGTGGTACGGGAGAAGGTCTTCTTCAACAAGAAAGCCCTGCCAAGGCCTGCTCCACCTCCGTCAGAGCAGAGAGAAAATGCAGATAATGAAGAAAGATCCAGCACCAGATTGCCGCCTGTGGGAATGAGCCACCAAGCCGTGAAAAGGAGGGATCCTTGCACTTCTCCTTTGCTCAGAGCTCCAGTGGAGGTGTGTCAGGTGCGCTCTACCTTGAGGGAGAGGTGTCTGGATCGGGACATCCTCAGAGCCACTGTCACCTTGCAGCAGCCTGTAGAACTAAATGGAGAGGATGAGCTTGTGTTCACTGTGGTAGAGGAGCTGTCTATAGGTAGTATTGTAGATCAGGGGCGGCCAACAAGCATTATCAGCTTCAACAGTGACTGCTCCCTTCAAGCCCTGGCTTCAGGCTCTCGACCTGTCAGCATCATTAGCAGCATCAACGATGAATTTGATGCCTACACATCAGCGATGGGAGGATCAGAGGTGAACATCGCTGTGGCCACACCCCTCCAGGAAGGAGCCATGGATAGCAGGGGTTCATCTATTAGCTCTTGGTTGAGTGAGGTTAGTGTTTGCACCCTAGAGAGCGAAGGAGCTCATTCTACGGATGTCTTCCTTCCTCAAGCCAAACACATGGGACCAGAGGCCACCTTTTACTTTGATTCCCTGGATATGTTCCATTGTGTATCCTCTCCTAGAGATGCCAAGAACTCCTTAAATGACAGTGGGTTCAGTTTTTCTGAATTAGACAGTGATAGTGCTGCCTCAAGCAAACTATCTTTGAGTAAGTGCCCCCCATCTCCTGAATCAGCCAAAGGCACCCTCAGATTCACATCTAAAATAACAAAAACTCACTCACTCAGTTCGTCGCAACTTCCACAGGCCCACTCCATAGTCCACTCTAGTCTACCCAGGAAGATTAAACCTACCTCATCCATCTCTCATAGTAGTAGCAGTAGCAGCAGCAGTAGAGAGCCACAGAGGTTAGAGGCTAAGCAGGAGGATCCATGGCAACGTAACGACAACCACTCCGAACCTCAGTTTTCTGACTCCAGCAGCACCAGCAGATTTCCCAGAAACCTTCCTAGTGGTATACCTTCAAGCAAAACATCCAACAACAGCAACAGTGTACCTCGCCCACCAAAGGTGCAGGGGTCTACCTCATCCCAGAGGGTAGTTGACGGCTGTGAGAAGTCAGCCAGCAAAAACCCACCCAGCAAAATGCCTCAGCTAAGACGAGGTGCCACCACCTTGGGGACAGTGCCCGTCATCCATTCCTCCACAGACTACAAGGGAACTCATGACATCGTTGCATCTGCCATAAGCCTTAAATTCTCCTCTCTGGGGAAAAACAACAAGGCCAATTCACAGAGAGCGAGTAATCTCCCAAAACCAGGTTGCATCTCGCCTCCTCCCCCTCCAGTGAGAAAGTCCAGTCTTGATCATAAAACTAAGAGCCTGCTACCCCAAAGTGCCTTAAAGTCACCATATGGGGATGCAGGAAGGGCCTCTGGAGCAAGGTCAGCTGTATCAGAGGACGAGCTTGACGTACGGCACAGAGCAGACTCCACCAGTTTCAAAACCTCCAGCCTCAACACAGCCAAAGTCACCTCCAGTCTGAAGGTCAGAGGGCCAAGGGGAGAGGCTGGGCACCATTATGGCAGTCAAATGTCACTGGAGAGGTGTGAAAGCCTGTCTTTATCTGGTTCAAGAACTGCACTTAGTAGGGAGAATAGTGGGGCAAGTTTAGGGAGCAACAAATCCAACAAGTCCATTCCAAGATTTGGTGTTCCTAATTCATCCAGCGCTCCTATAGCTACATGCCCCTCATCCCCAAGTGGAGGGAATACGACCAAATCTGGTCAGGTAAAAGCGTCTGTAAATCCCAGAACATTAGGGGCAGTCAGTGGCAGCAAGGCACGCTCGCTGTCGGCCAACCACTCAAAGGGCCTGAGCTCCTCCAACAAGTCTTTGTCCGCTCCCGTGACCAGAAATACCAACGCCAACCTCCCTCCATCAGGACGGACATCAGCTCCTCGGACCACTGCTGCTGTTAGCAGTAAGCCTGGCAGAGGAACTATCATGGGCACAAAGCAGGCCATGAGGGCCGCTAACAGCCGTGTGAGCGAACTGGCAACAGGCAACATATTAGGGAAGCACATGAAAGCTTCAGGAGATTCAGACAGTGGGAATGACAGTGGGGTGAACGTGAGTGAAGACAAATCTACCATCGCCATGCTGCCCTCCCCATACAGCAAGATTACAGCTCCCAGACGACCTCAGCGCTACAGCAGCGGCCACGGCAGTGACAACAGCAGCGTGCTGAGCGGGGAGCTGCCTCCAGCCATGGGCCGCACGGCCCTGTTCTACCACAGTGGCGGCAGCAGCGGATACGAGAGCATGATCCGAGACAGCGAAGCCACTGGCAGCGCTTCCTCTGCCCACGACTCCATGAGCGAGAGTGGCATGTCATCATCAGGCAGAACAAGGGGCTCAAAGTATCCCAAGAAGAGAGCAAATGGTGAGAAAGTCATTTGGGTTTTAGGGGTTTTACACATAGCAATGCAGGTATATACCAAATATATCATTCTGGTAATAGCAACATATGTAGTAGCTATTCGACAGCCCTTCCAGTGAAACTATATATATTGAAATAGCGTTCAGAAATTCAGAATTCACTCTCCAAGGAAATTATCCATTCAGCGGTTCTAACTTTATGAATCCATTCTTATTACAGTCATGAATTGGTGTTTCATTAGATGTTCTCTCCCCTGAATCAGCAGCATACATTATTCATACATTTATGGGGAAATGACAATGAAGGTTTCAACCAAGATGACTTTGAACAGTGTGATGATCAACTAAGACAAATTGAACATGAGCGCCAGTGACCTAGTTCAGGTTTTTGTAGCCTTACATATGTATAACCATTTGAATTCATTCACCTGCCTTTTGGATGTATTTGAGCTATGGATGTACAGAATAGTAGCTTGTGAAACCTTCATAAATATGCAATCACCACAACTCTGCTGGCTCGTGTAAAGCTTGCATCACTTTACATCTCAGAGTGAGACTCATACATATTTACTCAGAGAGCCGAGCAAATACTGCTGTTGTATGACACCAGTGTAGCTGGTACCTGTCTGAATTTATTTGTTGCTTTGTAGGTTTCCAGAGGAGGCGGCTGATCCCGGCACCCCTGCCAGACACCTCCACCCTGGGGAAGAAGGTGGGCACAGCGGGCCAGTGGGTGGACTTGCCTCCTATGTCTGGACCGCTGAAGGAGCCCTTTGAAATCAAGGTGTATGAGATCGATGATGTGGAACGGCTTCAGAGGCGGCGTCAGGAGGAAACTGCAGAGGTGAGCAGAGGGTCACTGCTGACTTGCTCTACATGGTGGCTCCTCTCACTGAACTTGTTTTAGATAATGTAACGTCTGGGTCAAGGTCTTGTCAATCCCACTTGCTAAGCCCGAAGCAATATTTTGCATGTGTGACATTGATGCCGTAGATGCTCAAGATGTGCCACACAGACTAAGGTTGTGGGAATGTCTTAGCTCACTTCTTCCCAGTTTCTTTTTTAAGAACAAGACAAGAATAATAAGTCTGCGATGTCTGACCTTCTGTCAGCTAAGCGGCAAATCCCACAGCTAAAATGTCTGTATCCAGATTCCTGGAGCTTGGTATTTTGGCAGCGTTCCTCAGGAATGTCAAGAGTTCAGGAGGCAATTACTGACGAGGGTTAATTGGTTTGCATATGAGTGATGACTCGACTTACTGCTGACGATAGCGGTGTGTGTAGTGCAGGGAGAAGCTATGAGAAAGTAGATGCATGAAAAGATTGGTCAGGGAATGTGTGATGAATGCAGCGGCGCCCAACGCTCTTCCAAATCAGCTCACCACAAGCACTCATGGTTGCCTGATCGCTTTTTATAGCTGGCTCCTCTTCTGTGGATCATTAACTGCTCCCACAAGTTCAGCGCAGCCAGACGGGGATTTGTTAAGAGAAGATATTAAATCAGATAGATGGTAGCTTGATTTACTTTCAATTAGGAAAAAAATGATCTTTAAATTTTCTCTCCCGGCCTGAATACAAGTAATGAATTGCTTCTCTGTGACTTTCCCTCACTCTTTAAAAATTACTATTGTAATCTTATGAGAGTGCCTCAATGGCTTGTGTCTGGATATTTACACACTACATGTATGTATGTATATGTAAGAGATTATGTTATATAAAAATATGTCTTGTTCAACATTCTAACTTGATTTGATCTTTTTTCCTCTTGTCTTCAGCAACCATTCCAGGATGTTGACAAGGTGAGCTCATTTTTCATAATGACTGAAGTTTAATTATAAAAGGTTGCATGACTATATTCATAATTATATCACAAACCTGACATTTTAGGTTGTGTTACCCATTTTGTCATCATTTAAGAGTTATTATTCTTATCTTTAGTTGCCATACAGCCACAACGTGGTCACTGTATTTAATCACCTCTCCTTGTCGATCAGGGCCTGCTGTATTTCAACAGTAAGCTGAAAATACTGGAGAGAAGGCAACAGCAAGTGAAGGACCTGAGAGTAAAGCATGAGGTGTTGTTGGAGGAACTGGAAGACACAAAGACCCGTTTGATGATGGATCCCTGCAAGTGGATAGGAGAGTGTAAGTAACTCCAGAGAAGTTGTAAATGCAAGATCCTGTCAAACTTTGTAAGAATTATTTGGAGACAAATCATCTAACCAAATGTTATTTCACTTTCACAACAGTTGAGGTGGACCAGAGTTTGGATAAAGAGTCTCCAGAGTATCTGGAGGCCCTGGCACAGGCAACGGAGGAGCTGGAGTTCTGCGTCAACCTATGCAAGTCCCGCGTCATGATGGTGACCTGCTTCGACATCAGCATGTCGTCGACGTCGTTGTCTGGCACGCAGGAGGGACTGCGTGAAGTTGAAGTTTGAGGAAGAAAGAAAGTTGAGGTGGAGAAAAGAGGAAGTGATAAGAAGGATGATGAAGAAATGTAGCAGCCAGTTTCTAGTTACCACTGAAATGAAGAACAACCAGAGGCAGAGATGAGAGTGGATCATTGCATTGATCAACAGAGGAAATCTGAACCACCTAACTACAGTGCCTCGTTGTCCAGGACATGGTTTTAAAGACAGAGGAATGAAACGTGAGCACAAATGTTGTTGCCCAAATGGCAAGGCAGTGGCCATCACTTACTCAAGAGTCACCAACACCTGGAAGTGCCTTTTTTATCACTTTGTTTTGAGTCATTATTTTTCATATGGTGCAGGTATCTTAAGTATACCCGAGCAAACCCTGAACATATTGCTTTTATGAAAAAATATTTTATATTGCATTGTATAGTGTATTTATATGATTATGTGGTGTGTACAAATATCCTTTTACGGGAAAAAAAAATAAAGACACAAAAAAGAAAAAAGCAATAAGCTAATGTTATTGCGCTCCCAGACTTTGCCTTTTCTCTTGTTTCAAACCTCAGTCTGCATTTTATCCATCTTCATTCAACCTCTTGCGCCTTATGTTAACTCTCTGGTTCTGTAGTTTTCTAGATTCTCAAACTGGACTGTGTTATCTCATCAAGGACTGCATTCACTGTTGTCACTCGTCTCCTGCCAGCCGGCCTGTAAGAGGCTTGCAGCGCTGAGTGAATTTTGTTTTTTCTCCAGTTGCCTTGATCAAAATGGGTCTCAGTGGACGTTCTAAGGTAGAGCGGCAGTTTTGTTGGGGGACAGGAGGCTTCTTCAAGCTGCAAAATGATGAGACATGAAGCCAAAACATATCAATCAAAGGGCCACTATGATGGTTAGTGAATGATTATTCTTGATTCAGCCATTCTCTCTGGTGCCTCAGTATGTGGCAATGCAAACCTGAGAGATTTAACCTTCCCCACACTAGCCTATGAGGATAGCATAATGAATGGTTCCATTGATAGTGGTGCTCATCAATGAGCCTGATTCCTCTCCAAATGGAGAGAAACACTTTGAGACACTGTATGATAAAGGGGCACAGATGAGATAGCACAGGTCTACCGGCCTCATACCCAGTACTTTTTTTAAGTGCTGCCAATCCTTGGCTCTATGCATTCCAATACATTTACTGCAAGAACCTCAGTACAGACTTAAAGGGCAACAACATAGTTCTGGCCTCTTACGTCCCCTACCCTTTTTTTAAAGAGCTCAATTAATGAAGTTGAGCCAGTGTCCAAAACGATAACTTCAGAATTGTTGAATTTCCTGTGAAATGATGCAGTGATTAAGAGCCAATGATCATAACATTGTTTAGCAAAATCAATCATGACATCAGCTCTTCAAAGCTGCCAGAATGTGTTTGTTGTAAATCAAAATGGCTGACATGGAGAGAACAAAGATGATAGGTGAAAATGATTGTCAAGAAAAACAAACTGGCTTTGTTGTACTTCGGTGTGTTTGATTTCTATATCTATGACAAAATGACTTTGTGTTGTTTCTTTTACAAAGATGTACTCTCTCAGGCCCTCTCTGAAGATGCTGCATGAGATTTTTTAATCATTTCTAAGAATGATTTCTACTCCATTTTTATCATTCTAATTTTTTACAATAACTTCAGTTTTCAATGATGTGTGGGGGTTTAGGCTCATGAATTAAAGAACTATTACCAAACCAAGACCTTTTTTCCAATAAATTATTATATGTAAGGTCATATTTCATATCAAAACCCATATTTTCGAATCTCTTTGTTTTTGTATAGGACTTTCAGACCCAATGTATAAATGTATGATAAGGCAGCTTGTGTTTTACTTTTACAGTACCTGTGAATAAAATGGTTCCACATACTGATGATTCAGAGTTGAAGAGTTTATGTTCTTATTCTCAGTCCTGTTTCCACATCATAACAAAGAAGAAAGAGGTATGCGGAGTGAAAGCCTCTAACAGCAGACAACAAAGGGGAAACTTTTGTTTCTTGAAACACACTTTTTTGTCAACTAAGCACTCAACTCTACCACTTCCACCTCAAGCCTCTGTCTCCTTCTGTATGTACAATATGACAATATGAGATATACAGTAGGATATAAAATCATGCATCAGACACTGATTTAACTTACCTTTAAACACCTTCTTTATAAAAATTTTAAATATATACCAGGCACATACACCACTATTGCATTTGAATGGCAGGAACCTCAGAGATGAATATCATAAAAACAAAACCATATGCTCAAGTACATTTTTATGATTTGGTCGAAATGATGAAATAAGTAGCATTTTACATGGCAGGGGAAAGGTAGGATGATTCAAAGGGACGGGACCGACAAGGTTGGATTATAAGGTACATGTTTTGAGCACAATGTTATTAACCTATAATCATTAATGGATTGTTCTAGTGAAACTCAAGCTTTCTGTGTTATTCAATTGTGAAGAGAGCGCCCCCTTCCCCCCTCTTATGCACATGAAATGGTTCGGTCCAGCTCCCAAACCACGTGTTAACGCCACCTAAGGGGGTGATCAGTGCAGGTGCGACACGTGTCTAAGCTTCCTGAAGAAAACTTCTGAAGACAACGAGGACAGAGACAAAAGCCAACAGAGAGGATGCGTGTGTGTCTCCCATAACTTCACTAAGAAAGGTGAGTGTTGTCCGTGAATCCTAGAAAATAGTCCACAGTGAAATAAGCTAATGGAGCCATTTTAAGTGGACACCTGAGGATGTGAACTAGAACACACTTGACTTTAGGGCTCATTCAGAAGCGCCACCCTACAAATCAATAGCCATGCATTGCTATGGCAACAACACAATGGCAGAATATATATATATATATATATATATATATATATATATATATATATATATATATATATATATATATATATATATATACCTGAAACCAAACTAACTATAATATAAACACCAAACCACATGTCCACAAACACAGCATCCAAAGCACAGCTGGTCGTGTATAGTGGTGGTGGATCATGAACAGTGGTGGGTTGTGATGTGGTGTGGTGGATCGTGGACTATGATTACAACAAGACTGCTTGATATACAATATGCCTTCTTACATATTCTACTAATTATGGCAATAACTCCTCCATTTTAATTGTCATTGCTGCTCCCTTCATCTCTATCAGACGATTTCTTTTGTATAAATACTTTAAACATTGACTCACCTTTCCAAAAGACTTTAATTCTCTCTTTCAGTCTCTCATACATATAATTTTGAGAAGAAAGTTCAATTTTTTGCTCCATCTCTGTCAATATGTTGCAGTTAACTCACCTTTTTGCTGTAATGCGATGATTAAAGGTCAGATCTGGGACATGCTTGTCCTTTGTGAAAGTGCACTTGCCTTTGCTCACCCGAGTCAACAATAGTAAATCGGAAATTAGATAAAATGTTGAGTCTGATGTGTAGAGGAAATGATGGAAAAAGAGATGTGGGTCTAGAGTAATTACTGTCTCTACCAGGAGGGCCCTCTGCTCAGTGTGATACATGAAATCCTGTTGCTTATAGTACTGTATGCGTTTGGGTGTGTTCTAGCAAACCTGCTGTGCAGCAGCATCTCTCCTCCTCCCTGTTAATTCTGTTTTGATCAAAAGCATAAGAGGTTAATTTGGCTGACTGGCGAGACCAGCTGGTCACTGTGTTTCAAATCAAATTCTCTGGGTGATTTTTGCTCCACGGCTCAGTGGTTTTTGGCATTCTGACACCTTGTGAAGGCCGGTCTAGACCGAGTCCACTGTATGGAAGAGTCACATCAAATATTCTGCTCTACATTGTATTATATAAATGGTAAATGGACTTCATTTATATAGCACTCACTCAACTTTATAGTGAGTGCTCTATTGCACTTTACACTACTTTACAAGTCACGTTCGCCCACACAGTCATACAGCATTTAGCTGCCTTTTTCCTCTCACACATCATTTACACTCTAGCTGACATGAATATGAAAATGTCCGGACTCAGTTTTCTGGACATTTTCTGACTTTGTATTACACAAATAAAGAATGCAGCAGGAGCTTGTTCAGGTGGACACACTAGGAAGATTCAAGCGAGGGGTGACACCTGGGTAGACACTGTAGGACATGTTTAAATTCCACTGCAGAAAAACTGTGTTTTTCTCTACAGCACATTACACTAGAGCCAAAAGCTCTCGAATTGCATTACGAGCTTTTTATGTCTTCTGTTCATCAGATATCTGTATTTTTCCTGTTACAAGTCTGATGTATGTTTGAAATATCAACGCGTGTGCTGTTGAGTTTTACAGGCGATTTCCTTCTGTATTCTCACATGAGCTAACTCGGACATTGTCCAGCAGTAAAAGTTCTGGTAAATGTGCAGAGCAACTCACCTTGACATTTGTGTTCTCACATAAAGCCCTTCCTGAAAATTTAAGGAAAATATTGTTCAAAAGCAGCTTCTGACAGAAAAGCTGGGAATTTCTGGGTTTAATGTCTTGATCAAAGACACTTCAACATGTGGACTGGAGATTTTGAGGATCAGACCACTGACCTTCACATTAGTGGACAACCTGCTCTATCTCCTGAGCCACAGTGTTATTAGGAAGCTGCTGTGCAGAGTGGAAACAGTTGGCCAGAGCCGCTGCAGACGTCTGATGGCTTCTGAGCCAGTCAGCCCCATGTATCCCAGCCCACTTTGCCTCAGGGCTCTCATCATTAGCAAGGATTTGGGTGTTGTATGAGAATAGCAATGAGTTCACTGAAGAGTCAGGAGTTTCCTCTCCCTTCTCTTTCCCTCACTTCAACCCAGCACTGACCCTTCACTGCAGCTCTCTTTACTCTTGGGAAGAGGCTTTATCCCAAGCAATCCTGATCCAGTCCTCAGTCTGTTTGCTATCTTTCCTTTTGTTAGTGTCTTTTCTTTGTTTCCGTTATCGTTTCAAGTATTAGTTCTGTTCATAGTGTGTTCTCCTGTCAAACTGACTCTGAGCCTCTGTAAGTTCTCTTTTTCATATACATCATTGTTAGACATTTGAAAAGCCTTTTAAAATTGGACTTATAAAGTTCCAAATTACAATCACATTAATTTCTTTATTCAATGGTTTGTCACTTTAGATGACCTCTTGTCCTCCAATTAGACTGAATGTCGAATATGTTTAAATGGACATTGGCTGTATGAACCCTCTCAACCCCCTCCACTGCAGTCTGCATCTGCCTGGGGCATTGTTAGTGGTGGCAGTTGCTGGGTTTTGGATTTACAGCACTATGGGCCCACAGCTTGGCCTGTCTTAACCAAGCTTGCTCTTTGAAGAAGGCCTATAAACCTGACCAAATGCTGCCTCTTATTCTTAGTAATTAAAACAAGCTGGCGTGAAGGAAAGTCCTTAAATTATTGGAGACTAAGCAAGATGTAAGCCTCACACGCAGTCTCTGGTTGTGCTTCAAGGGGGTCATAACTATTGACATCTCCATCCCCAAAACAGATGGCATGTGTGGGGAGTGTGCACCAAAGACCGAAACCTCTTACGAGCTGTAGTCCTGGAGGCTTTTCTACTCGTATGTACTGTAAATTATTGAAGCATGGGTGGCCATACAAGTCCAACAATATGCCACTAAGCTGAGATAATGCTACAGGCTGTAAATCAAACCAAATAAATCCATAATGAGAATTAATTAGCCTTTTACAGACAACTTGAAATGACCTATCGCTGAAATTGTATCTTATTTACTGTGTGTAATTAAGCAAAGCATCAGGGGCAAGAGAAGCTCAGGATCAATCAAGCATTGCCATTATAGGTGGTAATGATGTAGATGATATAGGGCTAATATTTTACCATATTGGTACAAATTGGAATGTAAATCATCCCTTGTATTAGTTTTACTGATCGTCCTGAGGCCTCATTCAGCCTCCATGGTTTGGACAGTGATGAGGAGCAGGATGCGGGTCAAGAGATCAAACAGACTGTTGTGTGTTGACCTACTCGCTGGCAAGGTAATGAATATCCAGGAGATGAAGATGCGCACACACACACACCGTCTCTGATGCTGCCTGACAGTGAGCTGGCAGTGTTGTCCTCTTAATTATGCAGTCTGAAAATGGTCTTGCGATGCAGGAAGAGGTCACTGCAGAGGTGGCTGTTTCATATTCTCCCGTTTATGTAATTTTCTCCATCATTGCACATACTTAACCGGAATCGACTTCAGTATATGATTCAGAATGCTGCTTATTCATGCACAGTCTTTGGTTTATCATGTTTGGCGAGTACATGATGCACTGACCTTGTCAAGTACTTTCTGGATTGCATGCACTGACCTTGTTTTATCTGTGGTCTTGTAGTCCCTTGAACCCGATTGCTTGTAGATAACCACTGATTTACATAAAGGCTTTGTTTAGGTGTACTGTTTTAAAATGCTTTCAGAATACTGATGTGAACAGTTAATGTGCAATGAATATTCATGGTTTTGAACAAGGTTCTACACAATTGAGCAGAAAAACGACAAAGTGTAAAGTCCTTGATTAGAACAATTGTTTGATAGGTTCCTCCATACCATGGTTGGATTAATGACTTGGATTTCTTTTCTGCACTTTTTTTTTTTTTTTTGTAAAAGGTTTCTGCTCTTTTAAAGATTTGCAAATTGCACTTGAGATCATCAGCCATAAAAAAATCATTATTCCTGTAGTAGAAGCTCAATAATTTAATTCCACAAAAAGTGCTCGCTCAGATATTGCTGTTAATTGCATGATGAAACTGAATAGCCAGCCATTCCATCAGGTTGTGCTCTGATAACAGATGGGCACGTGTGACGAAAAAGGCCATTTTTAATTAGTTTGTCCGAAGACGTTTTCTTCCTGTCAGCCCCTTGCACGTTTTAAGTTTCCGAGGCTGCCAGTCAGGCTTGTAGCTGGCTCCCAGCAGCAACCATCTGGTGGACAGCGGAACCTGGGCTACAGGATGGCTCCCCACTCCACTGAGCCGACATGTAGCCCAGGGACAAAGGCAAAAGTCTTATGTTGACGGGTCTGTACTCTGTCTGCTCTGTGTAGGGATCAGGGGTCAAACTAACTACTTCCTAAGCTATGTAATGTTGTTGAGAAAGGTCGGACAGAACATGATGGTTGTAAGTGTGGTGAAGGCTAAATGGAAATGATATGTGTTTAGCATGTCTTTCATGTTGCAATCTGGTTTACATTAGATACATGTAGAAGATTTATGATTAAAGGTTTTTTATCAGCCCTTAATTGATGTTCCCTCTTCACATACCCTCTCGCTGGTTCTACAGTGACCCCTTGATAGTAAAAGCATATACTTTGTGTAATTTGACAGAATATAGTTTGAGAAAGGAGATTAAGTTTTGAAAGGCTGTTCATCAGTAGATTAGAAGCACATTTCACAAGGTGATTGTTGAGCATCTTTCTTTCAGGATGATTTCATGTTCACAATGATTTGCATGTTATTTGTTTTCCATTCTGTCTGTTTTAGGTAGGTACAATAGCATGTTTAAATTTAAAGAGCATTGCCATTGCCATCTTTCCAGATGAACTGTAACTCATGAAATGCAAAGGCTAACGTGGTTTCTGGTATCTCTGTTATGGTGACTGATAAGATGAATTGAATTTCGTTTCCTTTCTCAGAGGAATAGTGTTTGTTTTTTTTTTCCAGGAAAACT